GTTTAATTATTTTGGTGTTCTGTAATATTTTAATATTAAAAAAGGTAGTCTAAAAATTTATTTCTGGCACAAGTTTCATCGAGGATAAGTTTATTACAAACATAAACACAGAAATTTGCTGTTGAAGACGATTGTGGTCATTAGACAGGAAACAGCTGTGGTTGTTTAAGACCTTAATAGAAAACATCAGTATCAAATAGGAAGTAAAGTAACCCATAATTCACAGAACATAGAGGAACTGCAAAATTAATCTACAACACACGTAATTATTGTGACCCATAATATATAATTAATGAAAACAAAACAGTACTTGAAAATCTTTTATTCGGGTATCAATCTTTCCTGCCTCAAATTAAAATTACTCAATTGTTCTCTAAATCCCTCGCTTTAAAACTGCAGCTCTATTACAATACCCGAAAACCAGATGAATAGCCGTGTCTTCTGGCAACACTGCCAGTCCTAGTCATCGACTAGGATGACTAGAATACAGACAATTTGGCAAGCAGTATGGAGTAGTATCTGCCAGAACTGCTCTGACGTAGTCCTGCCTCAATATGTTGTCACGGTCAACGCACAGGTTCAGGTTCTGTTTACGTGTATAGGGGACTTAACCTTGTTGCTTTCTCTATGTTCATTCAAATACTGTATCACGTACATATCTCAGATAAACACTTCGTCTAACGAAGTTCTTTTAACTTACGATACACATATTTTCCTCGTACAAACATTAATAAATTGCTTAGATGCCGCTGTAACGTGTTGTTGTGAAAGAACAACTCTGACGCCGTGTTGGTGACATCGGTGACGGCACTAGCTCGCGACGAGGGCTCAGACAGTGTCAAGGCAAAGGAGGACAGCACTAGTGAAATATGTGGTCAATAAACGTCTGAATGTTGTTTCGTCATTGATACCGGTTTGTGTTTTTGTTCTCGGACTATTGCGAAAGATTAATAGGTTTATTTTTATGTAGACTATTGTATGAGAAACCACAATACGAATTTTCGAAAGTAGTCTAGTATAGATAAAGCACCTTATTACTCTATTTAATTTTTACAAAAACGCATGTTCGAATGAAGAACGGAGAAAATGAGCTAAAAGTTAAACCAGGTTTAAATATATGTATATATAATCAATGAATACAGTCGTAGTCGACCTGTAGCGTTTATGTTCGCAGGGCCACGGCGAGTTGCTGCTGTAAACATGCCAAGTAACATCGGGGTTAAGGTTAGGCATTCCCAATCTAACACGCACATCATAGCTAACCTTTGTTTTAATAACAATCTGCCTGCAATGCACTTTAAAATTGTTCATAAACAAAAAGTTACAAAATATTTAACAAACACAGTGGAATGTGATTTTGTATCCACTTGTTTGACAATGTACCGTCTGTACACGATTGCGAAAATGTGTTTTAATTAAAATTTATTACCTAAAACGACCAATACATGGTTGCACGATTTAAACCGATTGTGAAATAAAACTTCGTCGATCAAATATGCTGTCCTAGATGAAGCACGTATTGTTTTATAGTGATATTTTTGTCCAAACTTCAATCAGAATTTTACTGTCTATTGGCGTCCCGCGACAGCCGCTATAAAGTCTTGCCTTGAAATCAGTTTTGGCGCCGTGCCGACTTCCTCGCCCAAATCTTAAATCCTCCTTTACTTAATACACAATATACAAATGACATGAAAACTGTCGAGTTTGGCACTGTGGTGCATTTTCCTAACTATTAACATTGCTGGTCGGGGCATATCATCATCTCGTGTACGGTCACGGGACTCGTTCCGGGTTGAAACACTGCCAATGTTAACACGACGCTGATGGTTTGAAATCAGAACAAGCGCCAAACTAGCAAACCCCTACCTTACCTTACCATAGTGCAATACCCACACTAAACAACAAGTTAGACAAGCTATAACATTTCGTTTACTCGTACGGTATCTACTGAGTAAACAAAGCACTGTTACGTTTTGAGTAAAAGTTCACGATTATTATATCTATTTTTGTTGCACTATAAATTTGTCAGTATCAATTACTAAAACCATCTGTGGAATGATATATCCGGCTAAAAATCTTCTGCCTACTGGAGCTGACAATCTTTGGTCCCACTATAAACTGTTCACGACTGTGGTGTGTTATGGTAGTCTGTAGTTAGTGGGTGTAGTCAATGTAGTTCTCAGTATCAATACACATGTCCTTGTCTCCACCCAGTGATATCCATCCGGCTAAACATCTGCCGCCTACTGTAGCTGACAATCTTTGGTCCCACTATAAACTGTTCACGACTGTGGTGTGTTATGGTAGTCTGTAGTTAGTGGGTGTAGTCAATGTAGTCCTCAGTATCAATACACATGTCCTTGTCTCCACCCAGTGACATCCATCCGGCTAAACATCTGCCGCCTACTGTAGCTGACAATCTTTGGTCCCACTATAAACTGTTCACGACTGTGGTGTGTTATGGTAGTCTGTAGTTAGTGGGTGTAGTCAATGTAGTCCTCAGTATCAATACACATGTCCTTGTCTCCACCCAGTGACATCCATCCGGCTAAACATCTGCCGCCTACTGTAGCTGACAATCTTTGGTCCCACTATAAACTGTTCACGACTGTGGTGTGTTATGGTAGTCTGTAGTTAGTGGGTGTAGTCAATGTAGTCCTCAGTATCAATACACATGTCCTTGTCTCCACCGAGTGATATCCATCCGGCTAAACATCTGCTGCCTGCTGGAGCTGACAATCTTAAACTGTTCACGACTGTGGTGTGTTATGGTAGTCTGTAGTTAGTGGGTGTAGTCAATGTCTGCTGCCTGCTGGAGCTGACAATCTTTGGTCCCACTATAGCTAAACTGTTCACGACTGTGGTGTGTTATGGTAGTCTGTAGTTAATGGGTGTAGTCAATGTAGTTCTCAGTATCAATACACATGTCCTTGTCTCCACCCAGTGATATCCATCCGGCTAAACATCTGCAGCCTACTGTAGCTGACAATCTTTGGTCTCGGTCTCACTATAGCTAAACTGTTCACGACTGTGGTGTGTTATGGTAGTCTGTAGTTAGTGGGTGTAGTCAATGTAGTCCTCAGTATCAATACACATGTCCTTGTCTCCACCCAGTGACATCCATCCGGCTAAACATCTGCCGCCTACTGTAGCTGACAATCTTTGGTCCCACTATAGCTAAACTGTGGTGTGTTATGGTAGTCTGTAGTTAGTGGGTGTAGTCAATTTAGTCCTCAGTATCAATACACATGTCCTTGTCTCCACCCAGTGACATCCATCCGGCTAAACATCTGCCGCCTACTGTAGCTGACAATCTTTGGTCCCACTATAGCTAAACTGTGGTGTGTTATGGTAGTCTGTAGTTAGTGGGTGTAGTCAATGTAGTCCTCAGTATCAATACACATGTCCTTGTCTCCACCCAGTGATATCCATCCGGCTAAACATCTGCTGCCTGCTGGAGCTGACAATCTTTGGTCTCGGTCTCACTATAGCTAAACTGTTCACGACTGTGGTGTGTTATGGTAGTCTGTAGTTAGTGGGTGTAGTCAATGTAGTCCTCAGTATCAATACACATGTCCTTGTCTCCACCCAGTGATATCCATCCGGCTAAACATCTGCTGCCTGCTGGAGCTGACAATCTTTGGTCTCGGTCTCACTATAGCTAAACTGTTCACGACTGTGGTGTGTTATGGTAGTCTGTAGTTAGTGGGTGTAGTCAATGTAGTTCTCAGTATCAATACACATGTCCTTGTCTCCACCCAGTGACATCCATTCGGCTAAACATCTGCTGCCTACTGTAGCTGACAATCTTTGGTCCCACTATAGCTAAACTGTGGTGTGTTATGGTAGTCTGTAGTTAGTGGGTGTAGTCAATGTAGTTCTCAGTATCAATACACATGTCCTTATCTCCACCCAGTGATATCCATCCGGCTAAACATCTGCTGCCTACTGTAGCTGACAATCTTTGGTCTCGGTCTCACTAAAGCTAAACTGTTCACGACTGTGGTGTGTTATGGGGTTTTGCACTTTTGGGGGTGAAATGAAACATGCTTAACGGAAAATAAAGATTTTTATTTTCATTTTCAAATATAATATTTCTATTTTTTTCTTATTGTTCATCTATAGCTTCCCTCATCATATGTCTGCATTAAGTGATTGTACCTGTTAAAAAAATCGTATTGATAATGAATTGGTGTAATCGATTATGTTTAGAGAATGCATTCCAGGAGCTTTGTTGCTTCTTTGCTTATTTGTTGAGGTTGTTTGTTCTTGCAAACGAGATTATAAGGACAAACAGAGAAACGATCAGTGTACTTATGATGTTAGCTTAGAGAGGTAAGATAACTCTCCTGGTGAATTCGTTTTGCATAATGAGCAGCATTCTTGCTAAAACAATATAGAATGTGCAAACCTTAGCAGGAATATGACTGGAACCTAATGTCAAATATCTAAATAGACTAGTGCACCTGTTGCTCGGATTCGAGCAATTGCCAAAGTATTACAGGTGTTATTTTAAAACGAATAACAGTCATAATTATTCCCGATGACTTAAAAGAGTAAACTCAAAGATAATGTAATCAATCACTCTATTCCAGTTATTGAAACTGAAAACGAACGCTCTTGTTTGTATCATGTGTTTACTAAGAACAGCTGTAATTAATACAAATTATTCGTCTGTTTAAGTAAACAAAATCATTTTTCTTAAGAAATACATTGGGATTTTGATGGCCTGTGGGGCAAAGCCCGAGGACTTTTATTACAGGAATTGGTGAAAGGGGGTGTCAACACAACAAATACTTAATTTTGACACATTGTTTGTAAAAATCCGTCCATTATTAACAGAGGAGTAGTGTTTCGTAGAAATCACCTTCACGTATTATATAGGTATAATGATTTTTTGGTATTAGCATTAGTTTTACGAAGTAAATACTGTGTTTGTTCATAAATTGATAGTGAAATTTGATGGATTAATTTTTTATAGACTGTGTGTTCTGTTGCAGAGAACCGACCAAGCCTGAAGAGAGTGAGAAGTGGCTGAGAGACCCACGAGATGGAGCTGTCATCATATCTCAGGTCTCCAGATCAGGCCAGCGTCAAACCATGCCAGCACGCGAAGGTACTATTTATGCTAAAAGTACAGTTTTAGTGAGCAAATTTTAAGGGTATCAAACAACCCTCTCACCTTTTCAAAGACAGTGACATAGAGATAGAGCTTTTTTAATTTAGATTAGGGTGTGTCATTGGTTTGTCCTTATCCCACCAACAGAGTCTTATGGTACTTCAATAAACCTGCCCTCTGATAGGAATTGATATGAGTTCTGGGACGGTAAGTCTTCTAGTCATCCGTAAGAACTAAATAGAGCCTATCCGCATCCAACTCTCTAATGTGTGTTAGTGACTCTTTAAAGTGATTTGAATCATCTGCAAGTAGAGCCCCTCCCCATCCAACTCTCTAATGTGTGTCAGTCTTTAAAGTGATTTGGATCATCTCTAAGTAGAGCCCCTCCGCTTCTGCATCCAACTCTCTAATGTGTGTCAGTGACTCTTTAAAGTGATTTGAATCATCTGCAAGTAGAGCCCCTCCCCATCCAACTCTCTAATGTGTGTCAGTGACTCTTTAAAGCGATTTGAATCATCTACAAGTAGAGCCCCTCCCCATCCAACTCTCTAATGTGTGTCAGTGACTCTTTAAAGCGATTTGAATCATCTGCAAGTAGAGCCCCTCCCCATCCAACTCTCTAATGTGTGTCAGTGACTCTTTAAAGCGATTTGAATCATCTACAAGTAGAGCCCCTCCCCATCCAACTCTCTAATGTGTGTCAGTGACTCTTTAAAATGATTTGGATCATCTCTAAGTAGAGCCCCTCCGCTTCTGCATCCAACTCTCTAATGTGTGTCTTAACTCATTAAAGTGGTTTCATTACCATGTGCATTCAATTAACTTGGCCAGTTTAAGATAACAAAGCATCGGTTTTTAGTCCTTTGGAAACATAGAGTTTTAATGAGATGCAGAAATAAAGTGTTCAGAACAAGCGGACCTTTCTCCAAAGATGGAGATAGGCTGCTGTTAGATCAATGAAAGCAGCTGAGGTTGATGAGCAGCATGATAGCTTTCACACTATACAGTTACGGCGACAGCTAAAAACCATGCCGTCTTGCAGCCGTCCACTGCCACTGAACCGGACGGTTGTCGCGCTGTAGCTATGCGTCAGTGGTGCATGAAGTTAAATGCAAGCTTTCATACTGCACAGTTTTTAATCAAACAGGAGCCCACCAGACGGTGCAATTAGATCAGCTGTTGTAATGTTTATCGTTTAAAATCTGACCTGTCAATTGGACACTGTTATGTTTATTGTGATTTTGTAAACACTTATCTCACCGTACAGTCAGAAAGAAACCGTGTAATGTGAAAGAAATCTAGACATGACTTAAAATCATATCACTGATGTTTTCTACAGGACGGCGGAAACCGTATAGTGTGAAAGGAGCGTATGACGGAATTTAATTAATAGAGGTAATTTAAACCTCTATTAGTCAAAGTTCATCTCACTCCATTCTACATTCACCTTACATTTATATTGAGCTTAGGTGTGTGTCACTGTATCCAATTTTAAATTACTTTATGTTCAGTTTATTTCGTTACAACACTGAGACAACTTGTGCTTCATTGCAGGGATTGGCAGCTTCGGCTCTGCGGTGGATATGGGGACCAGCTGCTTTGACATCACCTTCAAACCCACTGAGGAGGTTACCCACTATACTGTCTGGCCACAGGTATAATATTGTATTTTTGATTATTCCACAGATATTTCTTCAATTGATTAGTTATTTAAATTTTAAAAATTACACTGCTTGCTGAATAAATAATGTTTCCAATCATAAATATTGCAATCTTTATCGACCAATCATGTTTCATTGAAGTTGTACTTTGTCCCAATCATGACAGCAGGACTCAACTATGGTGTTTTAATCCAAATTTACCACAACTATTAAATGTTGTGGGATGGTTTTTTAAGTTTTAATACTGAGACCAGCAGCAGATAATTTAGTCAGGATTATTAAATACCTGATTAAAGTCTTATCAACTAGCAGTAGGAAATAATATTATTTCCACGGGGCGCTAGAATAATCTTGATATCTGTAGGGTTGTTTCTCTAGGATCATGGACAGTTTGCCAGTTGTCCAGGACTCTTATTGAGCAGTTCTGCGCTTAGTGTGCCTTGTCTAAAAGAGCCAGAAGTCCAAAAGCCATATATTGTCAGAGATCCATGGACCTCAGTGAGCTCTATGATTTTGCATGTGGCTGTGACGATAGATGGACCAGTTTTGTTATTCTTTGTCTTAACTCTTCTTAGTTGATATGCTGATAATGTTGTGATAGCGTGTGTAAATTTTATGTTTTGTCTGAATTCCACTTTTTTTATTATTTTTCCTTTTACTTTTTGTATTTATTTAGTGTTGAAAGGTAATAATATAGAGTTGTAAGAAATAATATGGTGTATTAATGCCAGAGACATGTAAAACATGTTTTAATGCTCAATCTAAGCTGCAAATTGTGTCCAGATTATATATAATATTAACTTTGAAAAAAACATAAGTATTTAAGAAGACCAGACAAACAACAACTATGTCTTGGAATTGAGCTGATAATCTTTCCATTTGTTGTGTGTTGTGTCGTCTTATTTTACTGTGGAGTGAACCCATTAATGTTGCCTAACATTGTTGTATCCCAAAACTGTTGTGTTTGGAAGATAGGCTGCAATATAACATAGTCTTTTGAAACATATTTAACTAAATAAAGACCACTAAACAACACTAAATAATATTTCCAAACCCGAAACAAAACCTAATTATATCACTTCAAAATATTCTGGAGCATGCTGTGTTGTTGTTTGGGAAATTCTTCTTCAGCTAACTAAAATACAGGATCTAAAATTATTGCAAAACGTTTTGATCCTTTTCTGGGTTATTTCTGATGTCAGCTATGGGACACTCAATTTTAAAAACCTTGGATGGCTCAGTTTCTTATTTTTCACAACAGTTGATTTAAAACAGTCCTGAAATTGCCATTGGAAATTCTTCTCAGCTGGTGGAGCAGTGTGTTTTATGAAAATATTTTTCACCACACTATGATGTTTTTAGCTGTTTTACATACGTTAACTGGTGGCTTAAAGTTACGTTTTGCTGGCCATGCCAGCTGTCGTCGTTATTTGGGGACAGAGCAGGTTTTTACATCCCTAGGGCCACACAATCAGTATCCATAGCATTGCAATAGAATTGTTTTATTGTCACCGTTGCCTATCAACTATTTATTATTATTTTTGCTAAATTCCTCAAATGATTTCTTTGCACAACCTTAAAGTTGTAGTTGTGTTGATTATCAGTGTGCATTATTATTGTGGTGAATAGTGGTAATAGGGCATAGTGTGGTGAAAAATAGCGTATGTACCATGGACCAAAATGGTTTTTGCAGCTCTCGATCGTTTAAAGTTCTCGACTTCGTCTCAAACTTATAAACTATCTCGAGCCGGCAAAACCTCATTTTCGGCCTTAGGTACAAAATATACTATTACCAACCTAATGATCATAAACATTATCCAAGAGATTTGGGCACTAAAATATACAAATCAAATCTAGTTTATATTTTTGGTAAGTCCTTAGTCTATGTCCCTAAATTATTCATAAATAACAATTCAATACTATCTTTGTTTGTACAGTATTTGTTTTCCATTGAGAGAAAATTCATTGATAAATGCATTTAATTTATTAAGACAATGTATGACATTTAAGACTTATGTGGATAACACTAACAATTAGTTAAACATAATCGGACACTTTTGTGATTAGATTAAACTGCAAAATATAAGACTTCATAAACATTCCTCAGTCTTCCATTATGGAGTTCACTTTAAGTTTGGTTCTCTTAAGTTCTAAATGGATAATGGCAAAATCGCAGAGGTATAAACCACAAACATTTTTAGGGTTTTAAGTTGATTGCCTGTTAATAGAGTCAAGGGATTAAAAATGCTTGGTTATGGAAATTATAATTTCTAAACATAGTTACGGTATTTTATAACACTAACTAGTTTCTCAATTGTTTTGAATTTTCTAAACAGATTTTTGGTAGTTTCTATTGAGTATAATCAAGGTACTGTAATTTGTTTCATACAGTAATCAACACTCATAGTCTAGATGCAAGCATAAGTATAAAACTTTTGTATTTAAATTTTAACAAACTTTTAATATTTGAGATAAAATGTTTTTAATTTGTAGGTTTTATGAACACTTGTTATTCTTTGTTCTGTGGCTACCCAAACCTGATTAGTTTCAAATAAAAACTCTGATCCCCTAGATGTGCCTTTTCTAATGGGCTAGAACCAAATTTACTAGGGCTTTTCACTTTTACCTGATTAGCTTCAAAGTTCTCACGTTTTTAAAGGAGTTTTCTTTTTAAATTAAATCATCTAATTACAAACTTAAACTTCAACAAACTGAACATTTATTATATAAACATTCAACCAGCAAAAAATGGTTAATGGTCACTATTGATTTTATTCACTCAAGTTTATTTATTAGCTAATACGCTCGATTTTAAATAATAGGTTGAGTTTTTCTTACTTTTAGGTATTTATAAGTAATTTTAATTGTAAAACGGTGTTTTCAAATAATATACTTACAATACAGTGTTGTTTCTGTCTTGACAGATGCTTGCTTGCATATCTGCAGCTTCATATCACTTCCCAGTTGGAGCAGTTGTCGCATTCTCTGCCATCTTGATTCCTCAACTCACTGCTGAAGACTCAGAGATCAAAGTTACCAAATCAGACACTTCATGGATAGGTAACAGTAATACATTACTAAATTGCTCTGGTGGGTGTCTAGATGGGTCACGAGTCTACCATAATATACTTTAAAACTTTGGTAGTGATACTTGTAGGTTGACATCTCAGTGCAGTCTCTGGATTCTCTCAGCTCTGTTCTTACTTGTGCATGCTCCTTATCTCTTCTTGATAAACCATATATACTGAATCAAATGACAGATTTGCTCAAAAGATGTAATTAAAATAAGCAAATAACAGATCTATGAACCCTTTGAAGCCGGAATATATATTTTTTATTTTATATTGATAATCTTCTAATTAATCTAGGTAATCTTCTATGTCTGTTATCATATATGTATTTCAACTTAATATGTCCATATTTAAACAAAATTAAAGCAATAAAAGGTTAAATTACCTGTGTCCGCCAGTCGATCCTTATGTGCGGTATCCTATTACAGGAGATGCATTTCGGCAGAATAAATTGCCATCATCAGTCCTAATATAAGATCTTGATCTTAAAACTTGATCTTGTTTGATCTTGATCTTATATTAGGACTGATGATGGCAATTTATTCTGCCGAAATGCATCTCCTGTAATAGGATACAGCACATAAGGATCGACTGGTGGACACAGGTAATTTAACCTTTTATTGTATGTCATACCGATCCGGAACAACAAAAAACAACATAAAATGAAAATTAAAGCCATGAAGGGAAAATTCATGTCCTCATCTGTACCACAGAAAACATACTACTATAACCCAGAATGCCAACCGCATGGTATAAAGCGTTAAGTACTTTGAGAGAGCTTTGCCTGTCAATTCGTAGGCAGCGCCACCAGCGTTGCTAGGCAAAGCTCTCTCAAAGTACTTAACGCTTTTTACCATGCGGTTGGCATTATAGTAGTATGTTTTCTGTGTCTGTACCCAATGTATAAAGAAGCAAAACAGGTAATGTGTGCAATCCACATTAGTCACAATGATGTGTACTTCTACCCAAGCTAGACACCCAGCTTATTTAAGATGGGCTCTCCACTCCAGCTAAGCCACTCAGTAGCCACCTCATGGATTGCCACTATACCCCCAACGGCCAAACACGACAAGCACCATCTATAAGCATAATAGCGCTTGCAGGTTAGATTCAATGAACTAATTCCTCAAGCTATAATCGGGCTTGAAGTGTTAAAGCTCTTCCTTTTGATAAAACAAGCCGCTGTGGTTTGGTTTGACTGGAAAGTAATACAACAGTTTCTCCTATGAACAAGATATAAAGGGGGGGGGGGGTGTAGGGGAACATGTGTGATTATCAAGGTATATATTTTTCAAACAAGAAAATCTAGTCAAATCCTTAGAGGGTATGTTTGTGTAGATGATGAAACATTAATGGCCGTGAAATTGTCTTTGTGTTATGTGGTCAACGTAATGTGTTTTTCAAATCTTGCACTACATTGATAATTATAAGATATTATTAGTCTATTAGACATCAAAAGTTTGGATTGTTTACACTTATTTCATTTTTATGGTTTGCACAAGGAAAGCGATGATTCCACAAAATGAAGCAACAAAACTCAAATTGTTAGATTGAGTGATTCTACCAAATCACCTCTATAAAGGTAAATTATTTCTAGCACAATCAATGTGCAATGTCCTGGTTTTTAATATTATGAAGTTAATTGAAGCCTTATATGCTGAAGAAGAAAGCGTAGCTCCATCCAATTTGGTTGTTTCATATTTTTGTCTGGCTATATGCATAACCATAGATAAAACATACTCCCTTAGTAGATTTCTCATCCTTATGGAACAGCTGAAGACAATTTTATTGTTAGTTCTGTACGGTTTATGTAGAGGTCGTGTTTTGTTTACAATTTGTTTCCCGTTATTACAGCCATTTAAAACCTCGTTTAACCAAATAATACGATCTAATCATAAACAATAACTTGTCCCCTAGTTATATAACCAAACAGTAAAGCACAAATCAAGAAATTGACCCTAAAAAAATAGAAACAAAATTTCGTCGACACTAGCGCCCAGTGTGGCGCGTACATGAACTAGACATGAAAAACGAGCTTCAAAATTTACAATGGGATGAGAAGTCTACTTGTGTTGGTTAGTCTATGATGCAACTAACCGAATTGATAAGTTCAGCAGTTTGCACTGTTACAGTGAAGTAACATTGTTATGTTGGATGTTTCAGCCAGTCTGGTGGTTCTGGTTGTACCAGTAGGTGCCCTCATCACAGGTTACCTTGTCGACAAAATCGGTCGCCTCAACACCATCAAGGTGGGCGCCATCCCGTATATGATAGGCTGGGTACTCATAGCCACAGCTCAAAACCTTCCCATGCTGCTGGTCGGCAGGTTCCTTACTGGGTTTGCCATGGGTAAGAGATACTACTGAATCAGAGCAAATACAATGTTGTTCATCCTAGAGTTTCAAAATTCTTCATGGAGAAGTTAATGATGACATTTTTATAGCCAGTTTTCAAGTAACTTAAATTGTATACTTGGTTTTAAAATGATGAAATAGGGTCATTAAAAGTACATTAATATTATACATATGGTTTAAACTAACATGATAAGCAGTTTGATAAGTTGATGTTAAAGAAGAATTCACCATCTACAAAGCAAAACTTCAATTAATTTTCTATTAACCTTAAACAGGTCCGGGTATAAAGTGAACATCGCCCTGATATAATGCTCTATGGTCCAGTCAGTCCATATACAAGTTTGGGCTGAAACTTGAACCCAATAGCAGAATTTAAAGCATTTTAGATTTTCAAAACACTGCAATTTAAACCAACAACAATAACTTATTAAACTTGTCTGTTTTCTCAACAAACAATGAAAAAAGACTGTGTTATAAACGTGCCTATTCATCTAAAGTCAACCTTTCTGATGCTATTCATTGGCCTTTGTTTGGTTGTTGTTTCAGCGATGGGTCCTAGTCCAGCTGTGGTATACATCACAGAAGTAGCCAGAGCAGATCTGCGAGGTGCTCTTATTTGCACTGGACCATCTATGACATCTCTAGGTATTGCTGAAACATATCATATACAACATCATCCTATGTTTAAAGTGTAACAGGTACAGATCTTTCACTAATAAAAAGCATGATGTTTAGAAATGAAAAAACAAAATTCTTAATTTGTAAAAGGGTCAATGTTTAAAAGATTATGTTGTAAGAACTGGTCCCGGTATGTAATGAGCAAGGTCAGGGCATTTTAAAGATTGTAAGGGTTCATAAAATTTGTGTATATTTATGTTCAAACTAAACCCTTACTAGCAGAATCGCCTCACCGATTCGCCGAAGTAAAATCACAAATGCAAACATGCCATACTAGCAGATGTCACAAGTTCAGCAACAGCTGATCCAACAAAATAAAGTGGTTTATAATCATATCTAAGCATGATCTACTTCATTGAACTCCTGTCACAGGCAAGCAAGCTTGTTAAAATGTGAGATGAACTCTGCATCAGTGCATCCTTTGTTGTATCCACTCATCCATAGGTTTTTCTGGCCACTTCCCATTCCCTTGAGACAAAATATAGACTTGTCATATTAGCCTAAAACAATGTGAGGAAAAATCGGCACATAAATTATCAATGGTCAGGTTTCTGTGGGTTTAGGTCTTATGTGTTGCTGTGTATAGAAAAGTGTTTAGACATATAAAATGTACATAAGAAGCTTAGGGACTTCTCAAAAGGCCATACACATTTGCTTAACGAGGCCAGCAGTGCAAGTTTATTAGTTTCCATTAAGTCGGAGATTCAGGTTGAGGAATCTTTTGTTACTGATTGATGTGTTTCATACTACAGTAACAGGGTTTATCATTGTCCTTGGTAGTCTCAGATACATCTCATCAGTACAGCAAGCTCTGCTTGTTAAATCTCACAGAGATATATCAGCAAAATTTGGTCACTGCCTCAAGAATGAATGAAGAAGGGTCGAAGATAGTGTACACTATGTACAAAACATTGTTAACCTCATGCAATTGTTATCGATCATCTCCAAACTCCCTCCACAACTTACACACATTTTATATGTCCTGATACCTTATGTAATTTGTGTTTGTGTTCAATGGCAGTTGATGCCTATATAAGACCATGAAAATCTATTACTGAACACAATTTGTAGTTGGTGGGTGCATTGATTTTTCTCCAAATTGTTTTTGGCTATACTTTGACAAGACAAATCAGCATATCGGGGTGGGAATGAAGTAAAGAACAATCATGAGTGAAAATTTAAAAACGTACGTTTTCATGTCCCTGGCCTTTTACTTCGTAGATACTGGATTTGTAGTTTATTATTATGTGTTTTAATATTTTTTGGGACGGAGGCAACATGTTACACACATTTATTCGGTTTTAAATAGGTTCTAGGTATTTTTTTCGTATTTTTAAAGTCTCGAAATTCACGACCATGACGTGTCCCTAGGGTACATTTTCCAACTTTCACGCTGTTTTTAGACTAATTATTCATGCCGAAATATATAAAGCCATATTTTTATGTCATCAATGGTTATTAAACTTACAAAAAAGGAGCATATTATAATTTTATTGTCATTACAAACTGACTACCATGACATAATAAGTCTGTCCCTCGATTTGGCGTCACGACCATTTGGGAAAAATTTTCAACTTTGGAGCACGACAGTGGCAAGCCTGGCGTCGATGGAGTCAGTTGGTTTTAGAGACTAGTTTGGGGTGTACGTCAGGATTGTAGTGCCGGTCGTTTCGAGTTGAAAGGAGGAATTACAAGATTAATAAAGGAAAGATTGTGTTTTTTGTAATTTTGGTGTGTCCATGACCGTACGTAGTCATTCCATGAAGTAGACATGGTGTTAATTTTTGTTTATAAGATATTTCAATTGCTAGATTAACCTAGAAGTCCACTTTGTATCCTCAAACATGAGGTGCAGGGCTACCGCCAGAACAGAGCCAAATAACACGTAATTTCACGACCAAAGTTTCACGACCATCGCGGGTTTTTTCACGACCAATCCAGCCTTATGGATTATAGTGTGTTTGGTCGTGACAATAACTTTAATATAATTGTAAATTGAACAGTTTAGTTCAATTGAAACACATATTTTTATTATAACTAACAGGATAATTGAAGGATTGTTTAGAAAGATTTAGATTATTCCAGACAATTCACGACCGTACCGCTTGTCCCTGACCATCACGTTTATAATTTCTATCATAAAAATTTCAAAAATTAAAATATCGTCATATTTAAATGTTTTATACACAAAAGAAGCACACCTCTATACAAACATAACGATTTTTCGGGTCTCAGGTAAGTTTTTTCGGAGTTATACAAACTTAAAAAGATTTTATTGGCTTTTTTTCAATTTTTTGAGTTTTTTTATTTTTTTCTAGAAAGACCAAATATACCAAAAGCTTAGTGACCTTTTTATTGTATAATAGTCATAAAAGTAAATTAGTTTATAGCAAAACATAGTTATAAAAATAATATTAACTATTTTTAATATTCATTTAAATGTCCGTTATGGTCGTGACAGGATTTTGTGTTTTTCCACTAAAGATGCTCTTTTAAAAAGAACTACCAAAGATATTGCGTTACTATGGACATTTTATGAAACTTCAAATGTTAATGAAATAAAAAAAATAATAAAAGTTTTGAAAAAAGGTGAAAAAAATTTGCAAAGTGCTTTTCCTGAAAACGTACGTTTTTAAATTTTCACTCTCATGTGTATGAAGTAAAGAACATTGCGCTGGTCTCAGATTTCAACTAGCTTGTATGGTCGCAACAGACCTTTGTGGAAACAATATTTTTAGATAATCCTCGTAAACAAAAGCCCATAAACATATTTTTTTGTGATAAATAGTGTCATATTTCTTGTTTGTCTCTTTGTTCAAATTTCATTTTTTTATGATCTGTTCACATTGTTTGAAGAGTTTTACAATCACAAATTGTACAAAAATGTGTTTGTATAATGTTCTGACATTAAATTTTCCAAACCTGTATTGTTAATAAAAGCTTCTATTTTACTTATCTCGATGGATGTCTCCAAAAATCCATTGATAAATAGTAATAGAATAGCACCTTAGTAGTGTAGAACCTTGGTAAGAAGAGTATAGCTCTATTTATAAAGTATAGCAGTTTTATGATATTGTAGCATTGGTATACAGTTTGCAGAGTGTTTACAGTACAACAGTGTGTTGACAGGAATGGTGGTGATTTACGCCCAAGGAGCGTACCTTCACTGGCGGACCATCGCCTGGATGTCCATCGCTTGGTGTCTTGTCCCAATCCTGATGATGTCCCTGTGGTCACCTGAGAGTCCCATCTGGCTCATATCCAAGGGCAGGACCCAGGACGCACTCAAGTCCTTGACCTACCTCTCCAGAAGGGATAAGAAGGTACAAATACTGAGTATCTCATGCATGCTGTTGTGTTTCTTTTTCTAGTTAGTAGATGTAGTTAGTTGTGACTAACTCTTGCTAGTGTTGTATTGAACTAATTGTTAGTTTTTACACTTACCAAAGAAAAGAGTTTAAATTAATTGAGTTATGAGCTGTTTGAATGCCGTAAATTGTTTATAAATCTTTTATTAAGATCACTGTGTATCCTTCCTTTTTACTTCCCCCCCCCCCCCATACGTAGTATTTATAAAAAGTAACTACCAAAGAAAATAGTTATTGTGTTAACATAATTATTGTGTTACAAACTGTTTTTGTACTGTCAACTGTTTATGACCATTTTGTTAGTCATGTCCGTTGTATATACTTCCTTTTTACTTTCTCCCCCTATGTAATATATGGATTGAGAGAGTATTCATTGTAAATTTTGTCAATATTTGAGAGCTCCCCTGAACCCAAAAATTGGTTTTTGAAGGGATGTCTGTCTGTGAGTGTGTGTGTGTCTGTCTGTCTCTCTGAATGTGTAAATGTGTGCAGAGCTCCAAGTAGCACCATTTGTCTGATTTTGATTAAATTTGTTATATGGATACTTGTTACCCATGGTATAGTCCCACCCAAACTGCCGCGGTATGCGGTACGGGTAAACCTCCATGTATTTTAGAACAATGTGAGCTAATGGGAGCGCCCACATTGGTGCAGTATGCCAACACCGGCACGGTACAATTTACCCTTGTACCACCAAAAAGCTGCATGCTCTATTTTTCCTGCGCGCTATTTCAGCGGTACGCATATTCTCAGTGAGCAGTTGTCAGTTGAGTTAGCTGCATGTCTACTGATCGATTAATAGAAACAGTCTATTTGTACCCAGTGCTTTATGATCTTAGTAAGAAGGACTACAAGAACATAAAGAAGAAAGACCGCATCTGGGATATTATTGTGGAGGAACTAAGCGAATCAAGTAAGTTTGTCATTCGGAAGTAAATATAAAAACGTTTTTAATCATTTCGGGGATCTGGCATTAAAGTGTGATATTCACCAAGTTCCATTGTCTTCTGGTTGATTTTGTGAACCTATTTCCGAGATCTACAATCTTCATCCTCAGCTGTAGCAAACACTAACAAAATACAAAATTTATTCCTCAACTGAAGACAAAGACATCTTAGATGTCAAGACACACAACAGCCACTCAATCGCAAATTAAATAGTTACGCCCAATACCGAGTGTGGGCACCTTACCATACAGCTGCCGTTTTATCTGTCGAGGCGGTATAAATACCCATACCCCGTACAGTTTTTTTCATTTTTGTTAATTTTTTTTTTTCAAAGGGGATTTTCCCATAAAACCTTCATAAAATAATCGAAAAATTGGATGTTTAAAAAAAGGGCTCCAGCGGTTTGGATTACAATCTAGCAGGTTATAGTCCGTTTAACTCTAAACAGAATGGTATAACCAAAGGTAAAATGACCTGTGCAGGCGACCGAAGAAGAATCAAATTTTCATATATTATATCTGTACAGGGCCCTGTTTCATAAAAATACTAGTCTAGTATTTACTAGTCCATGGACTAGTAATACTAGTGTATTTTACAAGTCTATGTTTCAAAAACCTACTAGTGTAAAATACTAGTTACTAGTGTAGGGACTAGTATTACTAGTGGTTTTTACTAGTGTAGACAGCAATGTGTTTCATAAAGTTTTACTCTTGTAAATTACACTAATAAATACTTGCTATTTTCTACCAACCTCTCTTCACCCGTATTATTTGAAGTAGACTAGTATTTTTGGAAAGAGAGCTATTTCATTACTCACATCATAAAAAAAATGAATTATTAAGTTCTTTTTGCAAGTGCGAATTGGCTCACGAATAGATTTGTGAGTGCTAAAATGATAATTATTAGATATAAATTACAATCAATAAATGTGGCGTGGTACAAAATGAGTGAAATTCAATTTTATAATGTATGTACAATCGCCCTATTAGAATAATTATGATTAAGTTATCAATTTCTGTGAATTTTTAGTATAATTTTACTTGAGTTAAATTTCATGGTTATGTCAACTATTTAGCTATCACAGAGAAACAATTTTTAAGCTTTGATAGGAACCAAATTAAAACCGCATACCGTTTTGAATACAAAGATGTACAAAAATGTATTAATCAGGTTATTTTACACCCAATTAAGGCTCTCGGTTTTATTTAAAGACATTTTAATAGGAAATAATAGTAAGGCAATTTTAAAAAGGGGTTGCATTGTATTTTTTGAGGTGCTTATTATTTGCTTCCGTAAATAGCTAAAACCCTGTGATGTACTAACAATTTTGTAGACCTATATTTGATTTTTGGGCGTTGAACTTAACTGCTTATCATAAAAACATAACTTTCAATCCATTTTGGTATTCTGAATTTGTTATTCAAAGTAATAAAAACAATAGATGTTGATTAGAGCTGTTATTTTAGTGTAAAAACATGTAAAAGTTTAATTAATGCAATAAAAAGTAGACGAGTGGCGCAGATGATTTGGACCAGGGACCGACCACATGACAAGCGAGAACTCTGCCTCTGAGCTAAGCCCTGCCGCTAAGCTGCGCCTATGCCATGTTTTACTATACTTGAAAACCTACTTCTCTATTGCTTGTAACGGCGTTGCAATTATTTGTTACATCAATAAACGTTTAGGCTTATTATTCATGGTTTGTAGACTCAAAATTAGAATATCACCAAATGGTTTTTAACCTAAATATTCTTATGCATTTGAATATTTGAAAACATAGGTTAGGGTACTTGAAAACGTTCCAAACAAAATGTCCTTAGACTATTTAATTACATTCAAAATTTGAGCATTCTTTTCTTTAATCATAGCAAGCTAAATTTTATACGTCAGAACAAAACAAAAACCATACAAATTGTGTGAAAGCGGCAGCAACAGATCAACTTTTTTACCCAACTCTGTTGAGCGCCGCAACTAGGCCTAAAACCGGCTACTACAATGTCCGTGTTGATTGCAGCGACGCGACGCCGCACCGCGCCGGCGGGCTCATTGATGAACATAAATAATAGCGTTTTGATAAATAATATGTGATTGTTTTACTTATGTGTCTATATAGTTATTAATTTAAAGAAAACACTGCGTTTCTACAACTATTTACTTTTTGTATCAAATGAAAACAAAATTAAAACCCTTTATGAATGGTTTGAAAACCCGTGATTGAGGTTAGAAATTTGTTTTGAGAATTTACCTTGTAAAGTTGGTCACGTGACTAGTAGTTTTGGTCACATGACTAGTAAAATACACTAGTATTTACTAGCGGTATAAAAACGTTTATGAAACACAAATTAGTAGGACAGGTAAATACGGGACTAGTATTTACTAGACTAGTAATTACTAGACTAGTATTTTTATGAAACAGGGCCCAGGTGTCCTCACCTTAGCGTGTGTGTGGGCCGGTCTGGCTGCACAGGTTTGAGTCAGTTGTCAGTTGACTTCTCCAACTAGAGAGCTTCGCGTTCCTGTGGTCCGCTAATGTATTGTTGACATTTCCTTGTCTTGTGTTTTTTTCAAGTAATCATGGCTGCCCCAAAAGCAAAAGGGAATAGAATCCTAGAGTAATTCCTTGAAATTTATGGATCAGAACCCTATTTGTGGTGAATTAAGAGCAAGTAATACCATGATCGTGGTGTGAGAGAGGCCACTCATGAAAGACTAGTTTCGAAATCAAAGTAAATTGAGCCTGATGTAATAATAAGAGCGAATAAGAGTTAAGTTGTAAGGAAAATAAACTATTTTGTCGCTATTTCCATACTGTAGAAATCTTTCACCAAAGTGGTTTACCGTACAGTTTACCGTAACATGTGTGAGCTCTTGCCTGTACAGATATAACGGTGAGGTATACCTAAAGTGTATGGCCGACCTAAATATCATGGTTACTGTCGCATCCGAACCTGGATGCAAACGAAGGATAAGGTGCTCGAAATAATAAACACTTTTACATTTAAGAAAACCCGCATTGGTGTGCGGGAGTCGATGAGGTAGGACGATGACTGTAGGTACAGAGAGTGTCGGGTGATCGAGGTAGCAGTAGGAACGGAAGGTGGTGTGATGGAACAACCAATGGGGTTAGTTTATTCGATCAGGCCATATGACGTCACATCGTACGATATCTAACGGTACATGGATCGAGCTAACAAATTTGATACCTTTAACTCTCTGAATCTGAATTAGAAATATACAATTCATTTTATCATTCATTTTATATTTTATATTAATACATTACAGTTACTCCCACCACTTTTACCCATGATGAGGGTTGTTGACAAGCTAATGTGAGAAAGTATGTGTCAGATTGCCGATACTGTTTATTTGTTTTTTTCCTTCTTTACTGAAATGCACTTTCCTTACAAAAATGCTTTATTTAACTTTGAAATAAAAAAAAACTTACCTCTTAGGGAGATCAAAATATAGACTATTTATCACTTGTCATAAAGAGAACACATACTTTATTATTTCAAGATGAATATGAAAGTGCAGAATGAAGTGAGATACTCTTTGCAGCTTTGTTAATGAAACAAATTAGCGTCTTTAGAAGTTGTGTCAAATTTTTTTTACTTGATGACTCGTTGATGGCTCAAGTTCCAAACCATCAAAAAGGTACTGCCTTTTTTTTATAACAAACAAATTATGATATTGTTGGTTCAATTTACAGCACAATTACCAAATTTAAAATTGTGAATACTTGTGATTCAATCAGTGCCGGACTAGGGTACTTGCGGTCCTAGGCCAAATTACTTGAGCAGCCCTCTCCGTGTGGTGGAAATTCCTTGCGATCGCCGAAGTAATCGTGAATATCTCCTATGCATCAAGGAGACATCATTATCGACACCCATGATCGTGGATGAAATCGTGGGCATCTCTCCTAAATCATGTCAAAGCCATCAAAGGTATCCGTGACCGCGGCAAAAAAATTCCCCGCGGGCTGCAACAAAGGTGCATCACCCTTGACACTCGCGACCGCGGCAAAATGGTCATCATATCCCGTGAGCTGTAACCTTGAGGACATCATCATCGTAAACCGCGACAGCAGTGAAATCGTGAACACATCTCCCGCGGGCAGCAACCACAAGGACAGCATCAACACTCACGACCGTGGCAAAATCGTGATAAATAATCTCCCGTGGACTGCGGTAATGAGGACAACATCATAGTCAACCGTGGCCATGGCGAAATCGTAAACATCCTCCTCAGGAAGCCATCACGGGGACATCATCATCGACGGGAGAGTGAACATCTCCCTCGGACCACACGGAGCCATCATTATCGTCACCTGCAATCGCGGCAAACTGATGGCTTAAAAAAATGATTTTTTAAACTAGGAATATGTTTTTTCCAATCCTCTGCAGCCCCCTTTTGCTTAATCAGCCTAGTGGTAAATACGGCACTGGATTTAATAGTTTATTATTTGTTTCAATATATTTTTTTTATTTTGAAAGGCTGGAGTGGCCGAGCAACAGCTTGCTGAACTATTGAAGGAACACAATGCCAAAAAAAGTCTGACGGAACAAAAAGGATCCTCGTTTGGGAAGCTAGTTCGAGCTTTCTTGAGGCCCAATGGGTACAAACCCTTGCTGCTGCTGGTGTCCATCTTCACCTTTCAACAGTTCTCAGGAATATACATCACCATTTTCTATGCTGTTAACTTTTTTAAGGTAGGACATAGGCTTAGTGTTTTAGTTGTAATTAAAAATTGAAAGAAAATACCATGCAACAAATCAATCACTATGAAGTAAATATGGTTTTGAAAAACTTTGGTATCCACTTTGCCATTTTAGTTGTTTGATAAATTGTGTGCACTCTATTTGGACAGACCAAAAGTAGCTTAATATATTGAACCTATATAGCTACTTATAGAGATAATTTTCCTTGTGAATTTTTTGATCAGTGGCTTGAATGACAAATTCCTTAATAGACCCTGCATACAAGATGACCCGTGCTCAGGCATTGGACGCAGCCCTTAAACGTTTCAGGCTATCCAGAGGTTGTTTATTCTTGACTTTTGTTCCCTAATTTGTTGGTTTTATTCTATTGTATACGAATAGAAACGTGCAATAGCCATCCTTTTCCACGGAACAATTCAATATTTCATTGCTCTCTACTCTATTTATGTCTGCACAATTAAAAATGTTTACCATACTGGTTTTTATGAATACCTCATTCAACTGTGTTGTTTATATGACAGGATGTGGGGGCAGATATTGATCCGTATGTGAGCACCGTAGCCATTGGGGTAGTGCGGATGTGTATTGGACTCCTCACTTCCTTCTTGCTGCGCAGCTTCGGCCGCCGCCCCCTCTACATGGTCAGTGGCACAGGCATGGCTGTGTTCATGTTCATATGTGGATACATCACCAGGGAGGTCTCTGAAGGTGGGTCCCACACAACATACACTCTGGCTATGTGCTTTCTAAATATAAAACATAAATCTTCAGTAAAACCTTTTCACTCCCAGTGTTACCAACCCACAGAGAAGTAACGTAAACACTCTTACAACAACCATACCCTTTCAGTTCTAGTATTTTGTGCCGGAAATATACTTGTGATGAGCAAGGAAGAGCCGGAACGGTGAGCACTGTGAATAATTCCTATCGCACAGGGCACAGGGTCTTCCTCCACTGTGAGTGTTGTAGTACATGATTGCGAGGAGGGCGGTGTTGGACTTTGCCCTAGAAAACAGCACTATAGTGTTAGACACCACTTAAGTGTACCATGGAGTGTATCCTCTGTTCCTTACTTCTCTGGGACCAAACCACTAGCTGTGATAAAAAAAAAACAGATCAGTTTAGAAGGTGGAAAAATATCTAAATCTTGTTTGATGGAAAAAACTCCCTAATTCCAAAACTTAGTCAAAATCTTTCCGCTGGATTTTTATATACACATTACAGACAGACAGACAAACAGAAATAGCTCGTATTAGAGTATAGGATTCTACTATTTACATTGGTTTGTGAATCACTGTCTTTTTTTCACATCACTTAAATCATACAGTAGTGGGGTGCAGCAACAGCGGCTGCGGGTCTCAGGAGCTCACTTCCATCACAATGCACAACGGTTTGACCTACAGTATCAAAGCTGTGGCTGGATAGGGGTTTGGGGTTCGATTTCCCAAATTTTACCTGCAATGTTGCCGGTTTTCCACATGGTTGCCAGATCTGTTGGATTTGGTTTCTATTTCATAAATGGTTTGAAAAAATTATAGAATTGTTGAAATCTTTTCATCTTTAGCAGGCTGTCAAGTCCAGATTTGTTTACATCTCAATATATTTGGTAGCTTTCCTGTATGTTAGCTACAGCTTTAAATTGAGTTTTGTTTAAAATTGTGAGGTATTCAGGAAATGTTATTGAATGAGGGAGTGATTTGTTGTTTGAGATGTTTTCCTACTGTCGAGGTGGGGTTTTTGTAGTGACTCGTGTTGTATTCTACATTGTGTTAACATAATTATCGTCTTCCATGATCGTGGCAATATATGAACAAATCCCCTGGTCAAGAGTAAATTATCATTGTCGCCTATTGGGTCTGATGATGATTAGAGTGTCCAATCGAAATTGATCACCACTTACCATCTTTTTTTATATTTACCGTCTTGTGAGTGTATAAGCGTAAATATATGATTTAAGTATTATGAGATGTTTCTTATATTTACTTTCTGTAAATTTAATAACACGTACAATACTGATCAAGAAGTTATTTATTAATTAATAGCTTTCGTTCCAGTAGGAGGAATTGAATTCCAAATTACTCAACTGAATTTGTTGGCCCAGGTCGCATGGAGAAGAGCTTCACCCCTGTGATTTGCATCTTGATCTACATGAGTTTGGGTGTGACGGGCCTCATGAGTATCCCCTGGACCATGACAGCTGAGCTGTACCCTCTGGAGATCCGAGGGATGGCTCAAGGACTCACAATCTCTCTGGCCCATCTCATCATGTTTGCAGCTCTGAAGGTGAGAAGATTTGGTGAATCACATATAGTGCTGTGGTACTGAGAATTCAGATAGTGGATCTCATTAGGGAGGGTTCCTACTTCCTTTTGAAGAAATGTTGTTCAGGAGAATTAATTTGGACTAAAGCAATTATTTGTTTTCCATATTCAGCAACTATTTTAAAACAACCATCTGAGGAGAACTGAAGGGCACAAAAACAGTTTTATCTTCAGTCAGACTACTTCAGTGTAATGTACCTTTCTGGATAGAACTGCATCTTACTTAATAGATTATGGGTTTATCATAGTTAGTTTTGGTTGGATGATTGAATCAAACTGTAGATGTCACATATAGAATGGGTTTACAATAATTTTGATAATCCTGGAGCTATATTGGTTGTATAGTTAGTAAGCCAATTTTTCAGTAAATAAAGCAGACTAAGCTTTTAAGCTATATTGAAAGATAAAATTGAAGCCACTTACTCTTAAGAAGCTCTTCTAGATGGTTTTATCAGGTGTCATGGAGATCACTGATATTTAAATTATATAAAACCAAAGAAAAGCTTTCTTTAGCTTCAGGGGAAAACAGCTATATGTAACGTTAACTCACATCTCCCATTTTAATATTTCCTAAGGAAAGTTGGATTAACCAGGATCACACACTAATTTGGCTGAGATAGTTTAAACTTGATTAACTTATCCTATACTCCATTTACAAAATTTAGGCGGTTTTAGGGGGAAAAAATCCATCCCCTCCATTTTTTTTTGTCCCAGTGACATTTAATTAAAGTAAAGATAGATTAAACGCTTTTATGGAAAAGCGGTCCAAATCTATTTGATCCTACATTTAAAACAGCTGGTTTGCCAAAATGTCAATCATGCAGCTGCAACATATATACATTAAGCAAAAAAGTAGCGAGGGAACCCCTCAAACCACATAACTCCCTTTCATTGTTGATATAAGCTTTCATGATATAATCCTGTAAAATATGTGCAGTAACAACAACTATCAATGTTTTTTTTTATTAGCCTAAAAGTAATAAAAATAAACAGGTAAGAGTAACAACTGGAATCATTATTTTATTTATCATGTACTTTTCTCAAGGTCTATCCATTTTTGGAGAACATTTTGGGTGGCACTTACGCCACACATTGGCTATTCGCTGGATCTTCATTGGCCTCAGTGGTCTTCATCTTCATCTTCCTACCAGAAACCCACAAGAAACTATTGTCCGACATTCAGGATTACTTCTTAAACAACACTGTATACATTCTCAGCAAGGACAAGCCGAGAGAAGTAAAACCCCCAACGGATGAAGGGGTGGAATTGACCAAGATGAAAGAAAATGTTTAAAGCTTACTTTTATTTTGTGCCTTATGATCTGCCTTTATAATAAGTATTTTGGAGCAGAATTTATTTGATAAACAGTCATTTGCGAAGATTTGTATGATTGATTTAAGTAACCATTTTCAAACAGAAATCGATCACATATTTATCTTAGTTATCTGATCATGATTGGAACAAAATAAATGTTATAAGCTTAATAATTTTATGTAAGACATTAGAATACAATTTAATCATCTTTGTATATAAACCATGATCATATGTAAATAAATTCATTTTCTTAAACCAATTAGTTTATTTCAATCAGTTTATAATAGGTGAGTGTGATGTTTCAACTGTGTGTAAACTATTTTGTGCTGTTTTCAGGAGTTTATATGATGACATTTATTCTACTGATTCAATTTTATAGTGATTACCGCCATTACCGGTTATTTTTACCATGATATTGTGATAACTCAATGCTACCTCAAGTTTTAAGAGAGCAGTTTAGTATGTATTACTAAAGGTAAAGTCTTAAGTTTTAAAAATAAATAGGAATACTTTTAAATATTGATTAGATAAAAAATTGAATGGAACAAATTGTATAACTGTTATGTGTCTGTATCTACACTTCAAATGACCTGAGAAAAATGCCTTTATAAATAAATATACTTGTTATAACCATAAACAGTAAACCAAATCCTTGTTTTGTAATCAAGAAGAAATAATTTTAGACTCTGGTAGGGATTAAGAAATTAATAATGATTATTACACATATTAAACTAAGCTCCAACTATTTTATTTTATTTTTTGTAACACTAAGTAACAACATTAAATTTTGTTAAACTCTCTAAGCGTTCAAACACCACTGTGTGACTCTAAAATTCATTAATCTATAAATACATTCCATCTTATTCAGCTGCCGTTTTCTTATTTATAATGTGCTGAACATTGATTGTTAACTGAATATTGTAAATGCATAGGCTTAATAACTAAAAAGAACATGAATTAATTAGGCCACCTAAATTTTTAGGTTTATTTAATGTGTAAACCTAAATATGTGTCAAGCATATATTATATTCTCTTAGAAGTTAATCGTAATGAAAACTAAATTTTTTATGATTTTAAATTAAAATTTAGAAGAGAAACTGTGATTGCTATTTTGTACTTGCAGGAATGAAAACCTAAAACAATATATTATTTAGATAGGTGCCAATTATTTTTTATTTTGTAAGTTTATTACCCTAAATAATATTTGGTGCTAACTGCCAACAGTATTAATATTGTGAATTAAATATGTTTGTTAATAAAATAGATTTATTGTTCATAGTATTTTATTTTTGTACACCTACTGTAAAACTACTCAACAGTGTTACATTTGATTTTTGAAGATATGATTTTCTTCAAAGACTTCATTTTATTTTGGCTCCCAGTAAACTGAATAGGGTTTTGTTTTAATTTTGCAAGTGTCACATAAAAATTCAATTAATTATGTTTTAGCGAAACTCAAAAATATGAACCCAAATCTTGGGAATTCAGCAATTATTGTAGATCCCATTATGGCAGTCAACCTATAAATATAGATAATGAAAACCTTTATAATGGATTAGACGTTTACAAGAGTTTAAAGACTTGCTTCTGTATATCCTCTTAAACCTAACTTAAGATTAAAGTACCGGTACGTATTTGCAAACTGTACTGTGGTGATCATTAGTTTCAATCGGGACGTAATTCGGTAATAGAGTTTTGGGAAACTTTCCTTGCTGATAAGTGTATTTCATACTTTCAAGGCCTGCCATAGGCGTCCCCTATTAGTGCAGTTTTGTTTCTCTTGTTCAATCACACAACGATCTGCATGTAAAACTCCCCTAACTTTGGTCACTGATCCAAACAAACAAAACCAATGAATGCAACATCAGTTGGCCTTCCCCAAGATCACCTCCTAATTCTCTCCACTCCTTGCACACATGTTCTATGTCCAAACACTTTGCTACATTCACGTCCGGCAACTGGAGATGGATTATTAATAGCGGTTGACAAATTAGACTTAAAAAATATATTGCAGAACGTAATATTTATACTTTCATAAATTTTCTTTCATAAATCATGTTTTCAAATTCTATGACAAGACTATAACCATTGCCTATAGTCAATGCTATAACTGTCACCCTCCGATTATTGTGGTGGAAACTCGTTGAAATAGTAGTCGATCAAGGAGGAACACGGCATTGATTCAGATGGTTCAGATTTGAGTTAGCTTGCTTGACTGCGGAGGTTGATGGAGACTTTAATCTATGAACAACTCTTGTATTTGTGTGTGTGTGTGTGAGAGAGAGTAAAGACAAATTTACAAACTCATCAAATTTAGCTACAGAAGCCATTATTAGCTTGCCTGTAGCAATAAATGAGTTTGCAAACCTGCTAGATTAGTTAATGGAACGTTGGGTTATAGAATGATAGTATGATATTTATTGGCACAAAACGTACAGAATATTACAGGATGTATGCACAGATGCTTCGTCATAAATAAAATTGTCCTTATACAAGTCGTCTCTTTCCTTCTAGGCTAAATACATTTTAAAATCTAACAAAAAATAGACTATATATGTTTATAAATACTAATCAAATTCAACAGTTTAATATACCAAAAAGAAAATTCAACAGCAATTATAACAGAGGATAAAACTAACCTTACAACTATTGGTGTTAATTTAAATAAACAATATAAAACATTTAAGTATCAAGGTTTTTAAAACAGGTTTTTGTTCATTCAAAGCTATGGTAAGTAGGTACCTATTCAAGACTATCATATCACATTTCAGATCCTTCAAAAAGTTGTTAACTTTGTAATAGGCCTCTATAATCAACAAGCTTTTCACATTCTCTGAAACTTGTGTTGGGTTGAGGGTGTAACTTTTCATAAGGTTAGGCAATTTATTATAAAGTTTCATTCCCATATAGTAAATGCTTTTCTCTAAAGTTGTTGTGGAATGATGAGGCTACACAAGTAAGTTATTATTTTATTCTTCAATAATTTGTTTTTCAAATATTTGAATCATGCTCAATTGTGAAAACTTTTTTTCTGAACTACAGTATAACATTTTTGTAACATAAAATGTAATAATACCAAAAACGAGAGGGGATAATCTGATTTTGATAGCATGGCGGTTTCTGTTAGTACATTCATTCAGGGTAGATCATTCAAATAAGTCCTACTAGAAAATATGATAAAATATAAGCTACATATTATGTCCATATAGATTGGATCTTTACTTCAGTATTCAGAGGTCACTAATAATAAAATTATACTATGAGCAGTATACAGTATATATCCTCTATTAATTTCCTCTATTTCTCTTAAAACTGTAATAAAATAATATTGCAAATTAAAGTAAACAGCATAGTTTTAAACTAAAACTAGAAGAAATCAAATGAACTTTAGACTATATGATTGTGCAAATTTGCAATCAGGTCATCAGAAATACTACTTTCACCTATTAAACGGAGTGACTTGAGCAGCCAGGTTCCAACCAGTACCACCAGTGATCTGGTAGAACCACCAAATATTAATTTACATATTTCAATGAAACTTTTTTGTTTATTAATAACTACTAATTAACTTACAAAATCCAAAACTAAAGGAGGGACAATTAAAGTGAGTCCAGGAAAACAAATTCAAAATTCCTTTCTAAAAGCAAGGTTCACATCAACGCCCAATCTGTAACAAACAAAATTTACGAGCTTTCGATTTTTTGCGAGGAAATATTCCCAGATATATTCATTGTGGCAGAGCATTTTTTTAACAATCACAATATCAGTCTTTTCAAAATTAAAAATTACACTTTATCATCTTCATTTCAAAGAACAACTCATAAGGCGGTGTGGCAAAATGTTTGTAAAGAACACAAATCAATTTGAATAATTCAAAATAGAAAATTGTATAGACCTTGATTTTGAAGTCACTTTAATTAAATTAAACACATCAGTGCATGGAAAAGTATTCATTATTGGTCTTTATAAATCGCCAAATGCCAACAATGATGACTTTTTTAAAATCTAGAACATCTTTTTATTTTTTTTTTTGTGAAAGACAAAAGAAATTTATAATCATGGGTGATTTTAACACCAATTTTCTAGACCACACTGACCACCAAACCCAGCGGTTCAGGGACATCCTGGCAACATTAAATTTTATCTGGTCTGTGAATTCGCTGATTGGAGTCACAGCAACTTCGAGTACGCCATCGACAATGTACTGTAATAACAAACAATCCGAATTCCATAATATCAGTGATTGACGCAGCATTTTCTGACCACTTCACACAGGACATCGTCATTACTGAACTGTTGCCAGAAAAAAATACATCCTAGTTTTACAAGGAAGAGAGCCACTAAACCTAGATACATTGCTGAATTGAACATGGCTTTGAAACAAGAAACTTGGCAGTTTCTAAACAATTATACACAATTTGATGACAGGTTTAAGGCTTTTGACAGATGTTTTAACTTTCATTTAAATAACGGTTGCCCATTTACAAAAATTAAACCAAAGAAACCTGTTCAAGCAATCCGTTGGATAACTCGTGGTATTTTGGTATCACGAGAAAAACTAAAATTTGTTCATTCAATTTATACACTTAAACTCAAAATGACAATTTTAAGACTTTTTGTAGAAATTATAATATAATCTATAGAAAAGTTATTAAAGCAGCAAAAGCTTATAGTTTAGAAAAAACTTTAAAAAATAGTAGCAATTTTTCAAAATGATCAGCCTGGAAAGTCATTAATAACTTTTCAAAGGTATCCATATCAAACAGCACAGATTTATACTGTGAAAAATTCATTAGATTTAGTAACAAAAATTAAAGATATTAAAATTTCAGAAGAGGCAACTTTCATCTCATTTGACGTAACAAACTTGTATACAAACATCCCAATAAAAGAAACTTTGAATATCCATGAAAGTAATATACCACAATTGATTTGCTAACAAAATTCAAAATTGATGACTCAAACTAACAAAAACCGTCACAAACCTAAACTACTTCAAATATGAATCCAAATGTATTAAGTTACAGACAAGTTGATGGACTCGCTATGGGATCCCCACTATCCGGTCTACTAGCTAATATATTTAAAGAACATGGAAGATACAAAAACGATTTTAAACGACTGAAATCCACACAAAAAGAGATTATATATTATTGGTATAGGTAAGTAGATGACGTAATTTGACTATTCAAAGGAAATGAAACGACGTATTGTAATCACTTCTTAAATTACTGAAACACAATACCTAACCAAATAAAATTTACAATAGAAATACAGAAATATAGTATTAACATTTAAGATCTAACAATTACAAGAAATAATTCAAAACATGTATTCAAAATTTATAGAAAAGAAACCCAAACAAACATACCTTGTTATACCGATAAATTCCAACCACCCATGGCAACACAAAATGGAAAGCTTTAATTCACTGATACCAGGATGCTCCAAATCCCAATGACTAAACAAGACTTTGAAACCGAAAAATCAATCATAGAAAACACAGCAAAAACCAGTGGCTATAACCGAAAACTAATAAACAAGAAAATCAACAAAATAAAAAAAACTTAAGAAAAAAAACTTAAAAAAGACTTTATACGTCTCCCATTCAGTACTTCGATTGATAAACCATTAACAAGTGAACAAAATTTGAAAAATATTTGACAAGTCTAAATACAAAATTACAAGAAATAACTCCTTTAGATTAATACAAAACATTTCAAACAATAATCGGCTAAACTAACGAAAAAATAGGAAAAATAAGGAATATACAAAATCAACAGCAAAGATTGCTCTAAATTTTATATTGGACAAACGGGTAGGTCAATTGCTTGCCGCTTCAAAGAGCATATTCGCATAAGCGGTAAAACACAACAACATAACAAGTAAAAATCAATGTACGCTGAATACATGTTATCACATAACCATTATAATGGAAAAGTTGAAGATAGTGTAAAAATGTTAGAATATGAAAGAAAAGGAGAAAGAATGAATGTAAATACAGATTCATCAAGACCTTGTATCCAAAAGATTCTTCGTATAATATGTTAGGTACTTCTTAAAATAACCTGTTTGCTACTCTAATGACTTTTTAAATACTCAGTAAAAATGATTGCTTGGGACGCAGATGAGATCGTTTTACCTTTGGTTTCGTTCATTCATCTCACCAAACGTCAGGCGATTCGATGAACTTCAACGCGGGCAGGTTCTTGAGAACCCGACACGATTCGACGAACCTGAGTGATTGATAATCTCTTGTGAAGGAATGACTGAAGGCTGAAGGTTGTGTAGAGTGAGTTGTAGGCCTACAATGGATGGTGGCTATGCTGGTTATATACATATACTGCTTCTTCGCCTCATAACAGTGTTATAGTGTTTAAACTTAGGTTGTTTTAAACTAACTGAATAAGTCTACGTCACCTGCGTCGGCGGATCTGACGCGGGAATTACGAGGATGCGTACAAATGATCATTGTTCGCTGAAAACATTCATAGACAGATCAGATAGGTCATCAAGAGATCCAGGTGTCTACGAAGATACCTCTTCAACCGCATACTTTTTGGAATGGTTATTGCCAGGAATTATCACTATAATAGATTTAAGTTATCAATAATCAAACTGGTGTCCACAATATCACCCGAAAAGGGCCGAAACTTAAAGATATTGTAGGTATCGTCATTTAAAAATGACTTTATCGAACATCTTCGTTTTTGAAAATATTAATTAGGACAATATTTAATTTTGTTGAATGGCTGTGGAAATCAATAATAACAAGGGCCCCTTGCACTAATTGCACTGTATAATGGCCTCTTTAATAAATCAAACTCAAAGAGGAACTCAAAAATTTCCATTTTACTTGCCATTCGTCCTCAGCTTTAAAATAGCACCTAAATTAAACAATCAGATAAGAAAAGGATACAATATACTCTTTACAAGCAGGTAAGGAATGTTATGGGGAGAACCTCATTTTATTAAGTAGCCTAAATAGACAACACAGATATCTATTTTTCCTAAAACTAATATACTTGTACTCCCGTCCCTCATCACAGGAAGTTTGCGGACTGAATATTCCCCCCACTCTTACGTAAGAGATACTTGCCTTCCCTTGATAAAAAACACGATGGGACCGAGAAGGAGCAAAGGTACAATCAGGGGACAACAAGTGGTTGTCTCAAAACCGTGAACAAGAAATCGGATCAAACGCAAGGGAGAGAAGCGAACCGAGACCTTCAAGTCGTTTTTTGTAAAAGATAAAAGGTATCACATGTTGTGTTGAGGTTTTAGTTGTGTGTGTGTGTGTGTGTCCGTCCCAGACTGATATTAAAAACGAACACATTACAAAAACATTGAGTTGAAACTGCCACAAAAGTAATTAACAACTTTATTGGACTTAATTGTATTAGTTTTGGTTCATTATAATTGTTTTAAATTCCGTCCTTTTGTTTGCCATTACACAAGACAAAGCGCGCACTGAATAAAAATAAACATCTTGCAATCACTTTGCCTTGAACAAGTTATAAAATACAATATACTCTTTAAAAGTACTAACATCCGTTCTTTTGATTTCGAACAATTAAGAGTAAGAAAGTTTTTAATAAATAACCACATCACGGTACTAGATTGAGCTAGACTTTCAAGATGTATGCTAAAACATTAATGATTACGAGTTTATTATACTGTATTCGGTTTATTCGGAATTCAATGTAGTATTTCAATGAGCTGTGGATTGGGACTGATTAACCTAATCCTACAGCTTATTGAAATACTCATGGATCTTAATTTGAAAAGTGAAATGTTTTCGTATTCATCAGTCGTAACATTATTCAGAAAATGTTGTTTGTGTAAGAATGAAGCAGAAGTAACGCGGTTTCTATTACATTACCTATAGACTATTTCACTTACTATAGTATTTAACTTTGTTAAATTAAAACTTAAAACTGAAGATAATAACTACAAAGAATATTAGGCCGACTAAAAAAATCATGTAACTTTGTTGTTCAATGCTAATGTTGTCGTTGCTACCAGACTATCATGCACCTTTAGGTAATAAAAAGATGATTACAGAAGATTACTAAGATTGGTGTTGGATGTGGCAAAGTGTGGTCCGTCGGATGATTGCAGGTAGTACATTACGCAAGAGGGGAAACGGGAATTTCAAGCCCTCTTGCAAGTGTTGGTCGTAGCTCTAGGTTACAGCCTGTGATACTGTACAGAGATATGATGTATACAGACAGATACCACAAGTGTTGGTCGTAGCTCTAGGTTACAGCCTGTGATACTGTACAGAGATATGATGTATACAGACAGATACCACAAGTGTTGGTCGTAGCTCTAGGTTACAGCCTGTGATACTGTACAGAGATATGATGTATACAGACAGATACCACAAGTGTTGGTCGTAGCTCTAGGTTACAGCCTGTGATACTGTACAGAGATATGATGTATACAGACAGATACCATTCTGGACGTGGGGTTAAGTGAAATCACCAGATAAATTTTCAACGCAAAAAATCCATGATGGATTTTAACAAATGTCTCTAGACCAAGTTCTGCGCTTTACATAGCCTATTGACGTCTCACTGACCGCTCCTGTCATTGAGTTACCATATCTGAGATAAGTCGAATGCTCGAATCCGATGCACTGACCAACGAGCATCTTCCGAAAAACTGCTTGTTCTCTGTGAACAAGTTACACTCGAAGTTATGTTCAACTTTTTGACTAGTTCCTATTTTAAAGAGAAGCATAACTTAACAGAATAATAAATAAATACAAGAATAAAAACAAAACTTCTGCTAAACGTTACTCTTCATCATCCCATACCTCTCGTAGAAAAGATATGCTCAGCATAAATGACATTGAAGTCTCCCGAAATTCCATGTCAAACGATAGCGACCGAACAAAAGCGGAAGTGAAAGTATCTTATCACGCGACAGACCGAGAGCTGAGGTATTGATTGTGGAGCGGCCTTGTCCTTGTTTAGCTCCGGTACTGCGCTACACGCTACAGCACAGCCGTCGCCCGACATAGGTAAATACAAGATAAAACTGCGCGGCACTTGTGCAGAGGTCTATATAGAATACAGGTGAGGAAAGATCATTGTAGATACTGCTACAGTCACGCCGGGGGACAACAGTCTACAGCGTGTCGTAGTGCTGAGTGGACGTGCAGTACTCTGATGTACAGGTGAGGGAGGACCACTACTGCTACAGTCACGCCGGGGGACAACAGTCTACAGTGTGTCGTTGTGCTGAGTGAACGTGCCGTACTCTGACGTACAGGTGAGGGAGGACCACTGTATATACTGCTACAGTCACGCCGGGGGACAACAGTCTACAGTGTGTCGTTGTGCTGAGTGGACGTGCAGTACTCTGATGTACAGGTGAGGGAGGACCACTGCATATACTGCTACAGTCACGCCGGGGGACAACAGTCTACAGTGTGTCGTTGTGCTGAGTGGACGTGCCGTACTCTGACGTACAGGTGAGGGAGGACCACTGTATATACTGCTACAGTCACGCCGGGGGACAACAGTCTACAGTGTGTCGTTGTGCTGAGTGAACGTGCCGTACTCTGACGTACAGGTGAGGGAGGACCACTGTATATACTGCTACAGTCACGCCGGGGGACAACAGTCTACAGTGTGTCGTTGTGCTGAGTGGACGTGCCGTACTCTGACGTACAGGTGAGGGAGGACCACTGTATATACTGCTACAGTCACGCCGGGGGACAACAGTCTACAGTGTGTCGTTGTGCTGAGTGGACGTGCCGTACTCTGACGTACAGGTGAGGGAGGACCACTGTATATACTGCTACAGTCACGCCGGGGGACAACAGTCTACAGTGTGTCGTTGTGCTGAGTGGACGTGCAGTACTCTGACGTACAGGTGAGGGAGGACCACTGTATATACTGCTACAGTCACGCCGGGGGACAACAGTCTACAGTGTGTCGTTGTGCTGAGTGGACGTGCAGTACTCTGACGTACAGGTGAGGGAGGACCACTGTATATACTGCTACAGTCACGCCGGGGGACAACAGTCTACAGTGTGTCGTAGTGCTGAGTGGACGTGCTCTTTTTGGACAATGTGTTGACTCAGAGTTTACATGTGAGTTTTTATTATCACTTGTAACATTTATTACACTCTTTTATATCATTTTTCAATTTAGTTTCTACTTGGAGTATTAATTAATTTCACCTGTTTTATAGATACGCTTCTGGGTACATAATACAGACTTAAAAAACGTGTTCTGTTTTGCAAAATTAAAAAAATGTGAAGTTTTCCTTGTAAAGCGCTGCTTCGCCTCTTCGTATTTCCATCCGATGGTTTATTTCTAGTTTTTCTCGAAATTATAAAAAAATTGTTACTTACATCCTAACACAAGATTGCCATAACAGATCTCGAAGCACAATCAATCTCGTACATTTGTCTCATGGAAATTGTTTCTTGTTATTAGGATCAGTTCCGGTAATATTGAACACATTGCATGGCTTATTGATTACAAAATGCCTCCTTAATATAGACTTTACATTTACATTTAGATTGCTTTTTAGCTCGCTAACAAACTTTATTTTTACTAATAAAAACTTACTCAATTTTGGTTTATGTTACTTAAGCGTAATATAATAGTGTACTTGATTAATTCTAATGTAGAAGAAATATTAGATTGTCAAATCCTTATATTCCGTTCCAAAAACATCATGATGGTGTTAAGTACTGCCGCAACTACCGCAGTGCTGTTGGTGAACGTTTAATAAGATGAGGGACCGACGGACGCGACGGTTGGAGAGTTCAAAATAGGAAACCTATTTCTAGTCTTCTAGAACTTGTATCTCCCGGCTCCAGCGTTTTATTTCTTCTGTAAACATTTCAGGAACTTATTCAACACTACAAAACGATTTTATGGCAATCTCAGATTTGTCACAATTAGAAGAGTGCAGTTTTGAGCTATGTGATTGGTTAACTATCAACCTGTACGGTATTAAAAGCCTCCATAGGTTCATTACTTCAAGAATAAAAACCATTTTGAGGTAAATAACATTTTCACTTTTTTACTCCTTGTTTCTTCGACTGGCTAGAAGTCGAACACAAAGCAAATCCATAAAGCTGTGAAACACGACGATTTTACTTAATCCTTCCATTGATTGTAGTTGGAATATTTTATTTAATAAAATTGAATAAGTTATAAACTTACGTACTTTATAATGTGTTCCAGTTTAATGTATTATATGAATTGCGACACTTTTCAACCTTGAGTGTGTTTAAGTGATGACATCATGACAAGTCTTGACAACTTCAGCAGTACTCACTTGTTATCAGCACCTGACATCGCAAGTGTGATAATTTCGTTGGCTGAAATCACATTCTATGGTTAAATTTTTATGAGAAGTTGACAGTGTAGCCGAGAGGTTACAGCGCTCGTCTTCACATCTGAAGGTTGCCGGTTCGATCCAAAGCGGCGTCGATTATTGACACAGATTCTTGTTCTGCACTATCAATTAATGATGCTCTGTAGTACAAGGTCGACGATTAATATTAATACCCCTGTCACAGCAAACCTGCAGACTTAGCGAATTTCCATTGCCTGATTGGATTTACACTAAAATGTCTCCTTAAAAATTCCCTATTTAAATAGAGTTAGAGTACTTAGGTTTGCTGCAACAAGGCGGGTAAAAAAGCGTTTGTTGTTATACGATGTTAATACTGTAGTTTAGTAAGAAATGAATGTATTTTCCAAATTTGATCAAAATATGTTCAAAGCAAAAGCAAACAAGCAAACTACAACAGTTTATCAATTCTCCTTAAGAATAACATTGAAATTTTAAATCTACAATTTTTTGGCATTTTCTCCGTAACCATTAGGCGAATAATGACACTTCAAAATACTAAATTAATTGTTGTTTTTAATCCCTACAAAATGGTTTGGAAAGAAATTGTGAAATTTTGTGTTTGTAGGGTCGAAAATGGGAAAAACCTATTTTTACCCTATAAAACCCCCCATAAACCCCCGTCCCCATAGTCCGATCATGCTCGTTCACGAATCCGTTTGAATAAATGTAGGTTTACACGTTTCTACCAAATTTCATCAAAATCGGATCAGTTTTGCTCGAGTTAGGCCTATCGTGCTAACGGATATATTTATAAATAAATAAATATATATATATGAATTTGAACAGATGGTGTTTTTGGCCTCTAGGGACCTCAAAACGAAAAAGTAAATCGGTCCCGGGTCCAGGTCTTACCATGAGTACTACGGTAAGCTTAAATTTGCTAAAAATGTCACGATTCGAGCCGTTCCTTTACAAAAGAAACATAAAAATGCCAGTGGCGAAACACGCAAAATAACAGGTCTTACCTAAGGTACGGTTTCGTCACCACGACACTGTACGGATTCCTAATTAGGTAATAAACTAAAATATAATTAAAGTAGCCGTCGTATGAATGGGTAAACAGGTTTGTCGAGATATTTGGCAACGCCATCGAATCATACCGAACCGAATCGAATTAGGTTGTATCTCTAAACAAATTGTTCATTGTACAGTAGTTACATATTTAATCTACTAATTAATGATGTCACTATCTAACATCTTAGAGGTTACACAAAAGATATGGGATTAAATTTTACTCAGCTTAGCTCTAATTAAGAGGTAGGTTCCTTATGGTCCCTCGTGCGGCAATAAGAAGTAATAAAAATATAAAGCAATGTGACAAGATTTTATAATCCAGCCTTGACGTACTGTTACCACTTTAAGCAATGGTATCATTATCGTCCTTGCTGTAAATGTATTACATGAAAAAATCATGATTTATTGGAAAGTTTAAACTCGGCTGTATAACATTTTTCTCTAGTAAATATGGAAAAGTAAAAGAAAATAATTTGTTCTGTCTAACCCAAGCTTCCACGGGGCCATGACGCAAGGCCATTGAACACAACACAATGAACAATGAAATTCGCAAATTACATGACTTGCAGCTGGCTGAGCCAAAAGATCTGTCAATACTCTCCAACTGATTGATGTTCGCTTGACTTCTTTAACCTTTACACATTAACCAAAGGAACGCACACTTTTTGTAAATTAATGTTTTTTTAGTTTCTCGCCGAGTGTGTTTTGTATTACAACGGTTCGAGGTAAGCTGTAATTTGAGGGAAGCGGTCGCTTTAAACTCCTCATGACTTGCTTACATTCCATGAATCGAAGAGCATGTTCTTACTCTGACAGCAGAAGTCCATGCAGCTACAATGTTTGTAACTCATATTTAAAACTCCGCATCATTTTTAATTTTAAGGATTTTCACATTTTTATTTACGTTTCTTATAGCAAATATAATCTTTTAGCGAATTTCCCTACAGTGAAGTAGCTATTACCGTAGGTCTCCCGGGACCTATTTACTTTATCATTTTTGATGTCCCCAGCCGATTTTGATAAAATTTGACTTGAAGGTGCAAGGAGGGATAAACTTTAATGAGTTCGCGAACCAGCATGATCGGACCATGGGAACGGGGTTTAACGGGGGGTTTTATGGGGTAAAAATTGGGTTTTCTAATTTTTTACCCTTAAAACACAAAATGTATTAATTTTTCTCCAGACCTTTAAAAGCTTAAAAAACAAATAATTTAGTATACCAAAGTGTTTTTGTATGATTATTTGTTTCTTCATAATATTGCCAAACGGCTTAATCATTTTCAAAATAAACTTATCACACACTTTTATAGAAATTTCTATATTTCGGCATTAGCCTTCTTCAGGAACAAACACAATAACAAATAGAAGTGTTTACCACTCTGAATCATATGGTTTTAGCAAAAATCCAAAATACATATAATTTATGAAGAAGTAAAAAAGAATGATTAATGTATTATAAAAATGTATGATTATTTAGTAACGGAGGAAATTCAAAACATCGTTTATTTAAAATTCCCATGTTATTCTTATGGAGAATATTGTAAAATGTTGTAGTTGGCTTGTTTATGGATATACAGTATTTTGATCAAATTGGCAGATTTATTTATTTTATACCAAGCTATTAATATTTTAATAAAAACACACTAAATTAGTTTCCCCGTAGCATCAAACCTAGGTACTCGTTAAACATAAATATTAATTTAATATATTAATTGAAAATCAATCCAGACAAATGGAAATTCGCTTATTCGGCAGGTTTGCTGCATCGGGGGTATTTATACTATTAAAAGGAAGCATTGGCTGTTATCTTTTAACAAATCATTACTTGTATTTAAACAGTTTAGTTTTGCAAAATCTTTGTACAATCTTTCAATGTACATTCCACCCTACATACTAGGGAAAGTCGCGACTTACATAATCATGAGGATGGATGTGTTCCCTAATTTCAAGATGAGTAAAAAATGTTCTTTTAAAATTATAACACAAAAGATATAGAATAATTTATTAGTGCAACATCTACAGAAAAATGTATGTGTGTGACAATAAAGGTATTTGGACTTTGTGGTTAGAGTGACCAGACACCACATAAACTTCGTGTCTAGCATGGTGTTCTATTATCTGTGCTAGCAGTAGCCAGACGAGATAGGCAACAGGACAGGGCGAAATCCCTACGAAAATATTAATGTAAAGATCTTTACAGGTAATGCAGTTGTGCTCATGTCATGTAAATATTTGTTTTCAGATCTAGAGAAGCATGTCGAGACCAACATCACCGCAGCCACTAGTCACCAGCGACTCAAACTTCGGATCAAAACTCAATGTGAACAACAATGCCAGTAGAAATGGATCAAAACTCGATGTGAACAACAGTGCCAGTATAAATGGATCAAAACTCGATGTGAACAACAGTGCCAGTATAAATGGATCAAAACTCGACGTGAACAACAGTGCCAGTATAAATGGATCAAAACTCGATGTGAACAACAGTGCCAGTATAAATGGATCAAAACTCGACGTGAACAACAGTGCCAGTATAAATGGATCAAAACTCGATGTGAACAACAGTGTGAGTAGAAATGGATCAAAACTCGATGTGAACAACAGTGCCAGTAGATACGGATCAAAACTTGATGTGAACAACAGTGCCAGTAGATACGGTTCAAAACTCGATGTGAACAACAGTGCCAGTAGATACGGTTCAAAACTCGATGTGACCACTGCTAGCATATTCGGGTCTACACTGGAGATTGACAACGGCATCATCAAGTTCGGCTCAGCTCTTGATGTCAGCAGCTGCAACTACCAGGACCCCGGCATCAACTTTGGCGCTACTTCAGCATCTTCCTTGGTACCGCAGGTCAGTGGCAGGGAATCAGCACAGCAAATTTTGTTTTAAGTTGTTTGTACGATCACATGTTCAAAGTTTTTTTTTTTTTTTTTTTTTTTTTTTTTTTTTTCTGAAATAAGTCTAAAATAAGTCCATACTATTAAGACATTGTCATAGATTAAATATACTCCGTGTTGGTAATTATGGTATCATCATCAACTTTTTGTCATCCTGGTGTGGTGTTAATTGGTACTGTGCAATGAAACAATGTATAGATTAGCCACTTTATCATACTGTGCGCGGATAGTTCTTTAAATGGTAGATACGTTTTTAATGGTCATTCAGTTCATCCGGAGATATTGTGGCTGAGTTATACAACATAATGTGTATAAGAGTGATACGTCATCTACTATATAGAATATAATATATAAATTCCGGGTAAGAGTACAATAAAATTCATTAACGCTGATTGGTTTGTTCATTTTTGTAATCGAAAACGTAATTCAAACTATTTAAACGCAGGACTGATCATGATACAATCATCTATCCCGTGATAGACGTAACCTCTGTTGATTGTGGAAAGCTACAACAGCTGAAATTATGATCTTAGCGGTTCGTGGTTTGCTTCACCGCTTATTTTAGAGGCCAGAACCCTACAGACGGTGGCTGCTGTTATTACATAGGTATTATTGTACTGACTCCCCGGGCCCGAGTGTACATTTTATAATACTTAAAAACATCCAAATTAGGTTGAAATGGAAGTTATTGAAAAAATCTGTCTGCACATGTTAGGCTACTTCTATGTTACCAAGGTATGAAGCTGGATATAGTTTCACTAGTTGTAGCACATTGAGAACGTGTTTCCATGTGTGTAGATGACAATCAATCGGCGACTTATGTTCCATTAGGTACCACAAATGTTGTCTATGTCTTTTCGTAAATATCCCTTCTAGTTTGCAGCTCAAGTTTATTTTACACCAAGATTTCCAACTCATTGTTCAAATGGTGGTATCCTGGTATGTTACTATAAGTCCCAGATTATTTTTAGAATTGAATGTTCGTTTGTTTTTTACGAGTATGTCCAGAAAACAAGAACCATTGGTGATAGTGGTTTATAAGCCGTCATTTCATATTGAGCATCTTGCTGAGATCTGATTGGATATTGCAGAATCCGCGTTGCTGCACAGAATATAATAGTCCAGTCAAGGAATGAGGTGTAGAGTGCGTGAGCAGGTAACTAAGCGATTCCTTCAGAAACTTGTTCAGGGGGCTTAGGGTGTTAACATACCAAAAGTCCTGACTCCTAGGTGGTGAGCCAGGGGGTGGAGAGGGGAAAAAGGGGGGAGAAAGGTACGCATTTTGGGTTTTTTGATTATATCTCGAAAACTATCAACTTTTTGTATACTATAGTAAATTATAAAATTGAAGAAGATTAAATTTTCTACAAGAAAAGTATATAATGTGTTTATTTTGGTTCAACAGATTACGAGTTATAACTTATTTAATTGATATCTTATTAAAATCTTCTTCCATAAGAAATACATGTAAATTAGTATGCGAAATGGGGCGAATCCTATCCGCCCAAAGGAAATATAAATGATATTCTGGAAATCTTGACAAAATTTAAAGTAATTTGACACTTTAATCATTAAAATTGATCCAAAATTAAGGCGAGGGCGAGGTAACAAAATTTAGAGTTTTGGTGGTTTTTTATTGGAAATATAAAAAAACCTTAAATCATCCCATTTTTAAACGCTCACCCTCGCTTTAATTTTTGACAAAATTTCATGATTAAAGTGTCAAATTACTGGAAATTTTGTCAATATTTCCAGAATATCAGTTATATTTCCTTTGGGCGGATAGGGTTCGCCCCATTTCACATACTAATTTACATGTATTTCTTATGGAAGGAGTATTTTAATAAGATATCAATTAAATAAGTTATAACTCGTAATCTGTTGAACCAAAATAAACACATTAAATACTTTTCTTGTAGAAAATTTAATCTTCTTCAATTTTATAATTTACTATAGTATACAAAAAGTTGATAGTTTTCGAGATATAATCAAAAAACCCAAAATGCGTACCTTTCCCCCCCCCCTTTTTCTCCCCTCCACCCCCTGGCTCACCACCTAGGAGTCAGGACTTTTGGTATGTTAACACCCTAAGCCCCCTGAACAAGTTTCTGAAGGAATCGCTTAGTTACCTGCTCACGCACTCTACACCTACTTTTGAATCATTCATTGACTGGACTATAAGGTCAGTTCGGAGTTCAGCAGGCGAGCGAGAGACGAGTCCATTGACCCAGACAGACGGAAGACAATAGCAGAGCGGCATACTCACACACAAACACACACAAACACACTCTCTCGCAGTCAATACCAGCTGTAGGTGCAGACTTCAGAGCTTTACAACAAGAAAAGGACGTTTGAAGGGTGTAGGCCTACATTCTCCCTGTAAACTCTTACACGGATCACAAATTTATAACAGGTCTGGTCTAGATGCAATAGCACAATAACTAGTGGCCCTTTTCAAGTGCATTAATGTGTAGATGTATATCCTGTCAATTCACAATCGTAAATCACGTGGCTTTCCGCCATATCTGTGGTTCGTGGTGGTTGAACCGCCTCGCGCACTACTGGAGACGATATCAAGCCTACTACCAGCTTATCATCATCTATAGCAGAACTGGAGCGATGGCTCCAAGCTAAATTTATCCTTCGACCATCATTGATCTTTTAGTTGAAAGCACGCAATCCATTTCTTTTTCAACCCCCTCCCTTAAATTACCTCACTCTATGGTTGCTCTCATGACGCTGTCTCGGTAATTCGATCTGTCTTAATTTAGCTAACCCATAAACGAAAAATTATGTTCTATTGCTTTGTGTCTAATAGATTTACAGATTCAAATCTATGTTGCAAGAGATCTAGATCGCAATTCACATATCTCACACTATTCTTTAGATACTCACATACACATTCATTGAGTTGCAAGAGTTATTCTGTAACATATTTACATCAGCCCAATCAATAAAGGTTTTTTATCGCAACTATAAATGGTGGAAAGCTGGATTTTTTATACGTAATAGAACCACATGGGAGGTGTATTTTCGAAAAGTCCCCGATTCTTATCATTTCAACTCATTCACTGCAATTTCAAGGTTTCAAGGGTGTGGGGGAAAAGCTCTAGGGGTAAAAGTGGGGACTTTAGGGAAAATACACCTCTCAGGTGGTTCTATCTATGCTATTATATAAAAAGAGATGTTGTGTGTTTGTCTTTTACTTAATAACGCAAGAACCACTGAACCGATTTAAATAAAATTGTGTATGAAGGTAGCTCACTTTCCCTCACTTTGTAACTTCTTTGTAAGAGCATCAGAATGTAATGGCTTGACCAATTGATATGAAATTTGGCCAACAGCTAAAGAATACTGAGCACAATGTTTTGGTAAAAAATATTTGCGCATTTCCTTCTGGATTTTATTTTACGGGCAATTTCGCTTGTTATTTTAATGTTAGTTGAAAGAAAAATTATATTATTAATTAAAAATTAATTAAATTAATTAAAAATTAAAAATTTAAAAAAAAAATTAAAAAATTAAAATTAAAAATTAAAAAATTAAAATTAAACAATTAAAAAATTAAAATTTAAAAAAAAAATTAAAAATTAATTAAAAATTATATTTATTGGGTTTATGACATATGGGTTTATCTCGTTTCATTTAAATAAGATAAACATATGTTAATTGTTTGTAACTGTTTTGTTTACATTTCAATGTTTACTTTCATCCTAGGTTAAAGTTAGAATGTAACAGTTTGTCAATGGAAGTAACAGTTTTGCTATATTTGTTTTGAGCATGCCTCAAAGGCCACGTCATAATATTGGTCGTCGCACCGATAATGCAAATGTAAGAGAGTGGCGACGTGAACAAGAAGAACCAGATGAAGCAGTGGTGGAAGAAGCTGATAATGATAGACAGTTAGCTAAACAATTCCAACATGAATTAGATGCACTAAAATTTTACACTTGCACTAACTGTCATCGGCAACAACTAACAGCTTCAAACCAATCACCGATTTGTTCGCGTTGTCGTTCAAATGCAACTAAATTCACGGCGTTAAATAATATGGATGTGTCAAGTGTCCCGAACGAATTAACTGACCTGACGATTGTAGAACAAATGTTGATTGCACAAGTACATCCATCCTGCTATGCCCATTTACAAAGTACAAGCAAATGGTCAGGATAGCCAGTTTCACTACAAACGTACAGTACGGACTATCAGATAAATTTGTCATTCTTTAGAACTTAAATAATATCGGGCAAACAAACGGTGAATCTGTTGAAAGGGAACATATTGTAGGGTGTTAGCTGCTTTAGCCATTGACAATCTTTAAATAATGATTCGCTCATTTATGCGTCTAAAGTGTAACGGCAGACCACTCTAGTATACCTAGTTAACATATAGCCCTATTCCAGATATTATATTTCCCTTATATGTTTATATATAAGAATGTAAATAGTAAAAAAGATATTAATTGAAGTCAGCTGTGAATACTATAATCTGACCACTGAGCTAAAATTATAACTGGAGGTAGCACTGCCATGGCAGAAGTCTGTCAAAAGCGAGTCGCTGATTTTGTTAGGTTGGTATAGCAGTAAGTTTTCTTACCATAGCAATAACATGGCTTCTTATAACTAGGTTGGTATAGCAGTGAGTATTTTTGTCATACTTGAATACTTTTAATACTTTAATAATTTTCTTTGAAATGGCGACCATACAAAGTAGGTATTTTAAGCCAAGTATAATAATAGTTATAGCAATAATATGGCTTCTTATGACACCAGACTCACGCAAACATGGCGGCTGGCGACACGCATCTTTGACATTCAGTGCTACCTCCAGTTAGAATTATAGCTCAGTGAATCTGACAGTTCAAACAGCAGAGGTTAAGAAGTACATGTTCTGCTCCCAATATTCTAAAGTGTCATGATTATGAGAATAGTTTGATTAAAATATGTATAAAAA